AGGTAACCTGAGGTTGTTTGACTCTTGACTTCTTTTATTGACTTTTCCACATAAAGAGGCCACTGAGGAATTAGACCAAGCTCTGGTGGCCTTGTGGTAAGGAAGTTGTGCTGCAACCCCAAAGGCATACAGTTCAAATCCACTGCCTCCTCCATGGAAGAAGGATGAATAGTCTTCTCCTGTGCAATTAAACTGCCTCTGAAAACTCACTGGAAGGTCAAGCTTTGGGTCATTTCCCACTCGATGGCACACAACAGTAACTATGAGGTGCATAGATGCAAATGGGGCAGTGCTAAGGCACACGGGTGGTGCAATGCATTATGTGTGGGGCTGCTAACCAAAAGGAAAAGGCAGAGGCTTCAATTCACCAGCTGCTCTGCAAGAAAGATGGACAGTCTCCTCCTGTAGACATTTACGGCCTCAGAAACCAGATCAAGGCTCCTTGATATCAAAGCATACAAAATATCAGAGCAAACAAAACCCCAAACAAAAGAATACCTACTGGCATTTAGTCAGTTCCAACACATAGCAACCCTCCACCAGCTGTCTGAGGCCACAAACCCTCACAGGCGGAGCCTGCCCGGCTTTCTCCCTTGAAGTGGCTGGTGGTTTTGAAGTGCCAGCCAATGAATTATCCACTGTGCCACCAAGACTCCTTGTGCAACATACTTAAGAAGGTAATAAAAGGTTCACAGCTTCAGAAAACAAATTTTAAGCCCTTCTGAAAACCTCAGAATTTTCTTAAAATAAGTGGAAAACAGTGTAGGAGCCCAGGAACACAGAATGCTAAGGAGGGACTTAGAAGCATTCTTTTGTTTCCAGAGAGGGGAAGGGGGAAGAAAATTAGTAACCAGAGAATAGACACATTAAGATGTGGGAATTCAGAAGCCAGTAAGAAACAAAATTAAAAAACCCCCACAAAACTAAGTTGAGAAACTGAAAAAATTAAGCATGCAGTTTTGCAAAAACAAAAAAATGAGAATATTAGTTTTCGATAATTACAACTTCATTAAACACAAATGGTTCACTCGTGTGTTATGTTTGCAAAGTGTGTGGTTCTTTAAATGAATTTAATTTGATGAATAAGTTGAAATATGTCAAGTTTCTTAAAAACGAGTTTTTCAACGTTTACAGATCCCTGAAAAAGAATGATTCATTCGCATCTAAAACTAAGTCAATAATCAAGAAATAATAACATCAAAACAACTATGAGATATAGTCTCACTCCAGTAAAAATAGCAAAATTTAACAGAACCACAAAAATCAAAGGCGAGGTTGTGGAGAAACTGGGAGTGTAAAATTGTACAACCACTATGGAAGGCGGTATGGCGCTTTCTCAAAAAGCTGCCAATAGAAATACCATTTGACCCAGCAATTCCACTACTGGGAATATACCCTTAAAAAAACATAACTACCTGCTTTGCTCTCAATAGCAAAGAGCTGGAAAAAATCCAAATGACCATCAACAAATGAATGGATAGAGAAGATCTGATATATTCACACAATGAAATACTATGCAGAATTGAAAAACAAAAACTCATGAAGTATTAAGCAAAATGGGTGACCCTAGAGGACATTATGGTGAGTGAAATATCTTTGTCACAAAAGAACAAATATTGCATAGTGCCACTGTTGTAGAATGGGACTGACCTCAGGGTTGAGGAAGGCAGAGACGGAGGGGAGGAATGATGTATATTGCGTTGAAACAGATGAGGGAGAGAACTGTTTAAAAGGGATATGTGATTGGGTATTATTGTCATGACAGAAGTCCAGAATGAAGGCTGCTCAGTGGAGTGGACTTGGGGGGAGGGGTTGCATAACAATGAAAGAGTTTTTCTTTTACTTTTCAAGGAGAAGAATGAATTGGGGGGGGAGTGGTGCAGGGAGAAAAGTGCAACAAGTGCAACAATGAATGACTGGAAACCCTAAGTCTCTGTAAACTTTCATTAAAATTAATAATAAAAAAACCAATAATAGAGCACACTGACATAATATGCTATGATTTTCCCCCAGGTGGCGCAATGGTGAAGACACAAAGATGGTGGTGGCTCAAATCCATGAGAACGTGAGAGGCACCCTTGTGGTCCTGTGGGTACTTCTCCCCTCCGCCAGGTGGCTTGGAGTCAGTTTCCACATCTTCATGGGAGCACACTGCCTCTTCCTTTTCCCTTGAAGCGACTTGTGGGATTGAACTTCATACTTTTAAGTGTGTAGCTGAGTGCTTAACTACTACTACACTTCCAGGGCTCTTTCTGCAAAAACTGCAGCCTAGAAACCCTTAAAGTAGTTCCACTCTGCCCACAATGGGTTACCATGAGTCAGAATCAATTTGACAGTGCAAACACAAGACAAAAGCTATTAAATGGGAAGCAAAGGGTATGAGCAGATGGCTTCACTTACTGTGCTCCAAAGATGCGTGTATTCACAGATTGAGGCTTAGTGACCCCTGACCTGCGCACATCCATGAATGCCACTGCTTCAACAGCACACACTCACGTCATGTGTCGCATCTTGGCCATTCTCTCAATAGTTCAAACTCTAACCTAATGCTATTGCACACGTGATGCACGGAAAAGTGGAGTCCGTGAGAGAGTGTGAGGCCCTCCCCGAGAGGACACAGGGGCTGCAGCGGTGGGCTCATGCACAGAGGACTGTGGGCAGTGCAGCTTCAGGTAGGGTTTCCTCCCACGGTGCACGGGTCACTGTGAATCAGAGCTGACACACTAGGTCCCAAAAGCCACACCACCAGACCGTACACTTCGTGGACTACGACCCGCCAGCGGGTCTGCAGAGGCTGAAAACTGCACAGGAGAAGCCTGCCTGTCCTTCCTCCACGGAGCAGCTGATGGACTTGAACTGCCAGGAGCTGCCTTCTTGCCAGCAGTGCAACTCCATGAGTCACCACCGGCATGCCGCTTTGTCATGCTGTCGTGGCTCTGCACTGCTGTGATTCTGGAAGCCTGCCATAGGTATTTCAAATACCAGCAGCGTCACCCACAAATGACAGGTCTGAGTGGGGCTTCCCAGTGGGGCTTCTAACACAGACGAAATAAGCAGGGCTAGCCACCACTGCTGAATTTCGGGGCTGCTGGACGCTGTGCACCTTGTCTGGTAGAGTCTCACAGAGGAGTCCTCAGGCCGCATGGGCACCCGTGGACTCACAGCAATGGACTTGGCACTGTGACTTTCATTGAGTGGGTTGCTGTGCAGCTGAGACCACATAAGGAACCTGACAAGAGCAACACAGGGTAAACAACTTGTGTATGAACCTGGAAACCCAAAGATGAGACTTTTTTGACCATGGTGGTTTGGAAGCAGCCAAGATGTCCCTGGGGTCTGTTTACTGAGCACAGAGGGTACACAGCCCGAAAGGGCCAAAAGCTGGAAAACACTTCGTACCTTTCAGCATGAGGTTGCTCATAAAGCCTGCTTTAGGCAGCCTGCACCCCAGCCAAAAGGGAACTCCAGAGTTTTGGGGGTTGGGGAGAACACTGTATGAAGGATGGGTCTCTTGTGGAGGGTACAGGAATTGCAAAAGAAATCTGTGAGTTTCTCACAGCCTTCTTCAAGCCCTCTCCACCTTGGCCACTGGGTCATCTTAGGCAGAAAGAAGACTGGGAGCCCAGAGTGGACAGGACCACAGTGTTTAATGCACACCAAACATGGCAAAACAGGCAGATGCTGGGGTCATGAGAGGCTATGAGGTGAGAGTGGGGAAGGAGGGCACATGGGAAAGCACCGTTCGGCTCGACTGGGGCCCCCAATCCTCCAGCCTCCTGCCACCCCTGTGAGGGGACCAAGGCAGGGCGAATATACCCATTTTAGAGTTGAGGAAAGTGAGTCACGGCCTTTGCCAGCTTCTCAAAGCCAGGGAAGCTTTGTGGTCTCCTGGACACCTGCAGCTCTGCGGGACCTGCGAAATTGCAGGGCTGGGGAACAGCAGCCCTGCAGGAGGAGCAGGAGGACCAAGGTGGGGCTGGGTGGCCATGGGCTGTGGGTCCATGTGCCCAGCAGCCTCTTCCCCAGGCAGCCCCTCAGGACCAGCTGAGGGGTCATGGAGAGAGCTGGGCGCTCTGCAGTCCTCCCTGCAGAAATGATGAGGCTTCTCCTGTCGAGGTAGGGCGGGGCGGAGTGGGGCTGGACCACCGTCATGTGAGGGCTGCAGTGCAGTGTCCACTTGTAGAGGTGCCATCGCTGGCCTTGTGTAAGGGCTGTGAGGGCGGTGTGCAGGCACAGAGGATCGGGGACTGGGGTGGGGCGGAATGAGGGTGGGGGACAGGCTGAGAAGTACATGCGTGGAAGGGCTGTGATCCCGGGCCCCAGGAGGGACTGCTGAGGGCTGAGGGCCGCTCCGAGGCATGGACAGGCTTCTCAGAGCCAAGTCGCGAAGTGCCAGTGGCACTTAGTCCATTAGGGAGGCGTCGGTCCGGGCTCTGCGGGCAGAAGGACACAGTCTCCCTTAGGGCAACCCCAGGGCCCAGCATCAGAGCAGGGAGGAGGGGGCGGGGCGCGAGGCTGCGTAGCACCAACAGGGGGCGCCCGGGACCACGCTCCACGTTCACCCAGCTCAGACTCCAGGAGGGTGAGGGTTAGGATTAGGGTTAGCACCAGGCTCAGGACCCCAGAAAGGTCAGGATTAGGGTTAGCACCAGGCTCAGGCACTCGGCCTCCAGAAGAGGTGGAAGCAGGGGTGATGGGACAGCAGACTCTCAAGTCTTCCTTAAGTCTGGGGGCTCCACTGGGGTGTGTGGGGATGTGTCTTCTTGAGCCTTAATAAGAGAGTGGGCTCATAGGAGTGTCAGCTGAGGTGTCAAGCAGAAACACTGCCCTCTACCCTATACAGGGTTCTCCCCTGCTCCTCCGGCATTAGGGTCTCTCCTGCCCCCCTTAAGAATTGGGGTCTCCTCTCCCCTCAGTTTTGGATCTTTCCTTTTTCCTCAACACAGGGATCTGTCCCTTCCCTAAGCAAGAGGGCCTCCCACTCACCATGTTCTGCTCAGTCACTGGCCCAGGTTCTGGGTGTCAGGGTCTTGGAAGCCCCAGACCTCGATGGCAGCAATGAGGAAGTTCTCAGAACAGAGCGCCTGGTTGTTAAAGGTGTCACAGTGCCCCGTTCGGCCATGGTTCAGGTCTCCATCGATGAAGAGTGCCTGGCCACCCCCACCACCTGTGGGCAGTCCACCAGGTCAGTGTAGCCCCTGCCCTGGGCACTAGGGGCCCGTGCAGCCTGGCCCCCAACACTGGCCCTCAGGCCTGCTGGGCATCCTGCCTGGGGAGTCTGTCCCCAGCTCTCACCCAGCTGCTGGTGCCTTTCTCATGCCCAAAGAGGTGACTGGTCCCAGCCCTCCTGGACCACCACCCTCTTCCGCCTGCTCCTCTCCCCCTACCCCCGGGAAAGCCAGTGTCCTTCCCTCCCCTCCATGAGCTCTCAGACCCAGCCTGGGTGGGGGCTCACCCACAATAAGGCAGTCATTGCCCCCTGCCATGAACATGGACTCTGTCTTGGAGGGCAAGTTGAAGTGCCGCGTGGCCAAGAACGGTGAGAGGCGGTCAGCAGGGTTGGTGGAGACTGAGTGGCCGGCTGGGGTGGGAGTGGCGGTGGACTCCGGGGACAGCAGGGACTGGGCCTTGGTTAGCTCTGGATGCTTGATGACCACCCACTCATAGCGCTGGACCTCAGGCTGCAGCTGTGGGGGTGGCCAGTGGGCTGAGTATGGTCCCACCCCACCCAGACCACTCACAGAAAGTGGGGTCACTCCAGAGGTGTGACTGCTTGCTAGCTAGAGACCAGTCGGGGGAACAAGCTGTGGCTATGAAAGCAGCAGCCCTTGGTTGGCACTTTAGTCTCAGGTCAGGCCTGGAGGATTTGGGGGGCTGCTGACTTCTCCTGCGGTCCTGCTTAGTCCAGCCTGGACAAGTTCACTCACCCGAAATACAAAACACTCTCCGGTCCCAAAGAAGCCCAACTTGCCCCCGAACTTGTTCCTCTCGCTCCAGTCTGTGGACAGGTATGCTCCGCAGACCTGCAGGAGGGGCCCGGTGAGGTGCCCGATGCCAGGGTGTCCACCCTTGCCCAGGGCACCTAGTAGCTATGACCTGGGTGGCACTAGGCTGGCTCTGGGTCAGGTGTAGGGGTCTGCAGTTGGAGGTGTTGAGCCCAGCACTACCTCTGGCCTGGTCACAGTCACTGCCCCCAGGGCTCTGAGGACCCAGGTTAGAGGGTGTACATGGCTAGTGGGACCCACACACAGGCAAGAGTAGTCTTGGAAGTCTGAAGACAGGCCTGGGGAACTAGGGGCCTGCCTCTGTGGGGGGCTGGCCAGCCTGGGAGGAGCAAAGGCAAGTGCTGGCTAGGCTGTGGCACCAGCTCGGCCCCTGGCTGCTCACCTCCTCCTGCGTGGTTTTGATGAGCAGGAGGGTGGGCTCGTGGCCCTCGCACTGGAAGTAGAACCTGGAGGCAGAGACAAGAATCAGTCCTGGAAGCATGTAGCCCAACACTACTCCCCAGCCTCTGGGGGCCCCTGGCCATGTGGCTGAAACTGGGAGAAGAGAGGAACACAGGATGGGAGGGCCCAGCAAGTAGAGCCCCCTGGCACTTCGTCCTGGAGACGGAATGCAGATGTGGGGTGGGGGAGAGACTCAACCAGTCCTCAGGGAGCTATGGACAGTGCTCACTACAGGGGCTCAGCCAGCACTGCCTGCATCGAGGTCCCCAGCACTGCCTGGAGCTGGAGGACTGGTCCGCACAGGAGAAGCACAAGCCCAGGAAAGGAGCACCAGACAGGGGACCAGGGTCAGCTTGGTGCACCCCCAGGCTATGCCAGGGCCCCCCAGGTCAGCTCAGTGCACCTCCTAGGCTGGCCAGGGGCCCCCAGGTCAGCTCAGAACCCACCCCCCCAAGCTGTGCCAGGCACCAGGGAGTAGTGTAGCCGCTCTGGCTGCCCTGGCAGTGTGAGCACTACCTGGTCAAGCTGTAGCCATGCTGCAGTGAAGAGAAGAGCAGGAGGGGCTGGCACAGGGCGAAGCGCTCGGGGACCCACGACCAGATGTCCCTCATCTCCTTCACGCTGACGATTTCCGAGTGGAAGTTCTCCGCATGGACAGCCAGATGCACGAACTGCCTGGGAGGGCAGCGAGTTCAGACCATGGCGCCACGTGACCACCCATGGTCTCCTCAAAGCCTTACTCTGCACTGAGCCTGGAGCACACCCAGACTCACTGAGACGGTGCTGTCCCTGACCCTGGGTCCCATCTCCCACCCTCGGCACAGTGGGGGGACGGTGCCCAGCCCATGTGGGGATAAAGTGCCATTTCTCTGAAATCAAGACAAGGTGAGTCAGCTCCAACAAGACTTTAAGGTCAGCAACCACTGACAGGCAGCAACACAAAAGCAGCCAAGCAGGCACAGACAGACAGACAGACAGACAGATAGCAGCTGATGGGTGGTCAGGGTCAGAGGTAACACCCCAGGAATGGCCAAGCAGAGAGCAGCCCGCACAGCAGGCCAGGTGGCCGAGCAGCTGGTGCTAGGGCGAGACCTTCAGACCTACCTTTTAGAAAGCGAGACACTGACAACAGGAGGAAGGAAGGACACGCAGAAGAGGAAGATAAAACAGACACACGGAGGTTAGTGGGCTCCCTGTCCATACCTACTGGGGCCCCAGGAGGTGTACGCCATGCTCAAGTGTGACCTCATGTGGGCCACAGAGCGGTAAATGCTGCACAGGTCAGCAGACACCCAGAGCTGGGGCTTTGGGGTGAGTTTGCACTGCTGGCCTGTGCCTTCACCAGGGCCCTGAGGGCAGGAATCCCCAGGTACCCTCCTGTGGTTCCTGCTCCCTCACTGCCTCAGAGGCCACGACCATCCCCAGGAAGATCTTTTCTCCCAGTATCCCCACGGCTTCCAGGTGGGTGGACAGACAGATGAGTGTCCAGACCAAGAAGCACTGGATAAGCTCCTGCCCCCCAACTTTGAGGATTCCTGCGGTGCACCAGAGGCCTGGGCCTACCCAGTTAGTCTAGTTGCACCCTGCCAACCAGTGCCAGGCCACTCTCCTCCGGCAGCCTACCCTTTGACCCCTGACCACACTCCTGGTCCTTCTCCACTGGCTTTTTCATACCGGGACACACCAGGCTCCTCGGCTCAAACCCCCTTCACACTCGCCCCACGCTCCTGGTGTTCCCTAGCACTTGCCCCTCTTCAAGACCATATCCCCATGCCCCTGGGGATGCCAGGTACCGCCCTGGTCTGTAGAATCCAGCCTCTGGCATTTGGACAGCCCCCCAGCCTTGTGTTGGGTCGAGCAGGTGCCTCTAATCGGCACTCTCTCACCTCCACCCCCTCCCACGTCCCCCTTGGTCCCTGACTAGCTCCTCTCCCCATCCCTCCCACGGCCCCCGACTCATCCCCATTGTGGCCTCACGTCGCTCCTACCTCTTTTGCTTGACGGTGATACCCTTCTGCTTGAGCACCTTCTCGTTGGCCATCTGCAGGAGCTGGATCTCCTTCCGCGAAAAGAGCCGGATGGCAAACGCCTTCTCCAGCAGCTTCTCGGGCGATACTGTCTTGGCGATGTCCTTGACGAAGGAGCGGATGTCCTGCCGCACATTGTCGGATTCGGGGGGCTGTCCAGCCCTGACCTTGTGGAAGAACTTGAGGATGGCCAGGGCCACCCGGTACAGCACCTTGTAGCCCTCCACCAGGAAAACGTCGAAGACGCGCGCAAAGTGGCTGAGCGGCAGCTCGCCAAAGAGCCAGCGCTGCCAGTCGGCGTACACCTGCAGCACGTCTTCAGAGACGGCCACCATCAGCTTGTGGGCCGCCTGGCAGTACTTGTTCACCAGGTCCCCGAAGGTCATGCACGACGACTCGAAGGCCAGGAAGCTTTGGTCGATGAGCTTCCGGCTGGGGTCGTTGCAGGCCAGGATGCGGCAGGCCTTCTCGAAGCACTCGGCCTCGTCCAGGCTGTAGTGCAGCAGCAGCGCCACCATGGAGGGCAGCGCGGGGCAGAAGGAGATGTCGGGGAACTGGTTGGCGATGCACAGCAGGATCTTGCGCACGGCGCCCTCGCCCCGCGCGTTCAGGCAGTAGCTGGGCACCTGCGTGTTGTCCACGAACTCGGGGAGGGGCAGGCTGCTGCTGCTGCTGTGCTTACCCACTATCTTGCCCACGATGTCACTGTAGACGCTGGCGTCGGGCGTGACGGTGCGGCAGGGGATGTCGCGGATCAGGCGCTGGTACACCTTGGCGCGCAGCGTGTGGCTGTGCGCCCAGTAGCCCTGGCGCGCCAGCTGCTTCAGCTCCTGCAGCTCTGTGCAGCTCAGCTCCTTGGGGCCCAGGTCCTGAATGGCTGCCTCCATCTTTTCTTGGTCCACAAAGCAGTTGTATCCCAGGGAGTCCATAGCTCAGAACGTGACACAGAGGCCCGCACACTGCTGGCCAAGGGCGTCCCCAGGAAGAGTTAAATCCTGCAGCTGTCTCTCAGAGTGCTCTCTGCGGCCCTGTTTGCCATCTCACACTCTGTAGGGTTAAAGAAGGGGCGCCTTTCAGTCGGTATGGTCCCAGGCACGCTGCTCCTAACTACCATGGTAATCTCATTGTACAGTTAGTTTGCCTGCTTTTAAACTCTCACGTTGCAGCCTTAGCGTGGGCTACATTCCTACTGGTGATCACAGTATTCTTTTTCTTTAATTCTGTGTGTATGATTTTGGTAAAAGTTTCCACAGCAAATCAGTTTCTCATTCAACAATTCGCACACATTATTTTGTGACACTGATTGTAATTCCAATAATGTAGTAGCACTCTTCCCAGTCCCTCCCTGTGTTTCCTGTTTCCACTTACCCTGTAGTCCTCTTCACTTCTGCCTTCTAAGTTTCTCCTTAAGCAAACGCTGAGCTTTCATCTTGTATGCTTGACTGTTCTAAGGATTGTGTTCCTCCCTGTTGTTACTGATCACCTACAAACCTGTATATTGTTTGGCTGGAAGTTGAACCTCTGGAGTCATTTCTTTTTTTTTTAATTTTTATTATTTTGTGTGCATGTACCATCAAATCAGATCTGACTGGTACAGGAGGATATTGCGCCTCCTTCTCTGGCAGAGCATCTGATGGATTCTAACCATGTACCTCTGGGATTGCAGTGCAGCTTCTTGCCACTAGGCCACGAGAGCTCCCTCTGGAGTCATTTCTATTCCAGGATTCAAGGGTGACTGAGAGTCATAATTCTGGGGTTCCCATCAGTCTCTGTCAGGACAGTAAGCCTGGTCTCATAACGTTTCCACTGGCTAGTTTTTGGAAGTGCATTGCCAGGTCTTTCTACCTAGTCTTAATCTGGAAGTTCTACTGATGCCTCTCCACTAAGGTGACCCTTGGTCTTGGCAAGGCTAGTGGCAGATCTTCTGGCCATGAGTTCCCAAGCACAGCTGACTGACAGCCAGGTGGGCTATATTTAAACATTATTAGAAGGTGCTCAGGTGCCTGATGACTAGATGAAAGGCTGAAGGTTCAAAGACACCCAGAGGCTCCTTGGTAGCAGATAAGGTGCTCTGCTTCCAAAATGTCACTGCTTAGAAAACTCTATGGGAGCCTGCAGTGTAACTTTTAGCCAAAACAACAGAGAGGCCTATGAGAAATCAGGAGCACTGCAGAAGAACATAGTCCTTAGAGCAACCAATCATTTAACACCAAAAGGGCAGCGCTGGTCCAGAGAGAAAGCATAAAATGCAGGAAGGAGGAGGAGAAATGAATGGAAATAGGAAACACAAGGAAGAAGTGAAAAAAATGAAACTGCCCTGTGGGGACTATGTCTAATGTCACAAAACATAATGTGTATGAACTATTAAAGGGAGAATTCATTTGCTCTATAAACTTTCATCCAAATTACAACAACACTTCTTAAAATTAAAAAAATCCCACAAGAACCCTATGGAGCAAATACTTGGGATCAACCTACTAGCAACTTGGAAAGAGACGCCAGGCACATTCACAGACCAAGATCCTTCAGTTGATGGCCCTGTGCTCTCCAGGGGGCCCTGATGGCCCTATGGCCGAGGAATGACAGCCCTGTGGCCAGGGAAGGACAGTCCTGTGCTTGCTAAGGGGGCCCTGGTGGCCCTGTGGCTGATGCATGACTGCCCTGTGCATAGTAGGAGGCCCTGGTGGCCCTATGACCAAGGAATGACGGTCCTGTGCTCTCCAGGGGGCCCTGGTGGCTCTGTGGCCAAGGTATCTGGTTAACTAAATAGTCAGCAGTTGGAATCCACCAAGTGCTCCATGTTAGAAAGATGAGGTAGTCTGTTCCTAGGAAGAGCAGAGCCTCAGAAGCCCAATGGGGCAGTTCTGCTCTGTCCTACAGGGTCGCTGTGAGGCGGAGCTCTCTAAGAGCATTGAGAGGATGAAAATCCAGGGATCACCCAGGAACTTCTCTGGGTTGTGAACTAGAGAAAGAACACTAGGGGCGGGGTGGGTGTAGGGAGGCAAACACCAGAGGGCACACTGGGTCAGAGTCAGGGAGGGTAGAAAGGGAAACACCAGGACTGGAGGAGGAGTGGGTGCAGGAAGGGAAACACCAGGGAGAACAAAGCAACCAAGAAAGACTCAAGATAACCAAACACACTGCTATCGAGGTGAGAGTGACTCACACTGGCCAGAGTGAACTGCCCAGTCGAGTTTCTAAGGCTGGGCATCTTTATGGAAGCGAATTGTCTCCTCATCCTCCCATGGATGGGTTTAAACTGTTGACCTTTAGGTTAGCAGCCAAGGGCTTAACCTCTGTATTAGCAGGGTCCCTTCCATAAAGCTTAACAACCCACTGGAACTGAGTTAAGGAACTCTGGTGGCATATTCTGAATCATGTTGTCTTGCTACAGAGAGGTCGTCTCTGGCAGTTGGAATCCACCGGCAGTTCCAAGGGAGAAAACTAGGTGGTCTCCTCCCAATAAGCCTTAGGGCCTCTGAAACCTGATGGAAGAGGGCTTTGAATTGGAATTGATTCCATGGTGGTACTCTCAAAGACCACATAGGACACAGCAGAACTGTCCTGCTGGGTTTCCAAGGCTGTGGATATTCACAGAAGCAGATGACTTCATTTTCTCCCAGTGGAGCAGGTGGTGGGTTTAAACTGCCAACATTTTGGTTAACAGCCTTAAGTTTAGCCCACTGTGCCATCAGGGCTCCAAAGCAGCTGCAGTTAATGTTTCTCAGTATTAAGGGACTCAGGCTGCCCTGAGAGGCAGGTGAGGGCAAGATACGCTGGGGGAAAGGTCCAGGGGCAGCCTGCTGTTCGTGGACTGCCTGGCACAAGGGGGCTGTTTATGACTCGGGAGCTGAACACTGCTTTCCTAGGTTCACACTGACCTTCCTATCTGGCATGGTCCAAGGGCTGCTATTGTCTCAGGGCAGCTGCCTCAGCAAGTTCTGGTCAGCAGGCAGCTCATTCCCAGTTCCTGGCTAAGACATTCATCTAGAAACATAAAAAGCAGAGTGCTTCAGGAAAGATACTTAGAAACAGGGACAGCGAGACATCATCTCAAGTGCTTTGGAGACATGATGGGGCATCAGGAGGCAAGTAAGTCAAGCTGTTGGTTCAAGTGTGGAGGTGAAAACATATGAGATGCAGGATCCAGACCAGGCAACAAGTTTGTCAGCTTTGGGGGGGGAGGGGGGAAAGAGAAGGAGAGAGAGCGAGGGAATGAGAGAATGAAAGAAAGAGAGGATGAGAGAGAGATGTAAGGAAGGTTAACTGGGATTCTCCCCAATCTTATTCTTTATTGAGTTAAAGTTTTCAAACCCCAAAAGAAATATCAAAGGTGGAGATGTCCCAGCTGTGAGTGGAGATGCATGGACGGTCCAACCTACTGTATGGGTTGGGGGGGGGGGGAATAATGAATTAACATCTCAAAAGGGCAACATGTGCCTTGAGAGAGTGAGACCGGTCAGGATTGGACAGAGTTTCGTTCTGTTTTACACAGAGTCGCTGGGAGTCAGAATCAACTTAATGATAACTTAGATTCAGGATGAGGGGAATCTCAAGGAGGCAGTGGAACAGTGCACTTATATTGGAGGGATTGTGATCAGTGCCACAAATCAAACTATAAACTGTTGAATGGAAAACCAATTGGCTCAATAAACAGTTTTACAAATCACATTAAAATGTTGAAAAAAAACCCCCAACCTAGCAGTGAACAGTTGGATCAAATGGTACTCTACTTTGAACGTTTTAAGGACACACCAAGCTGCCTTCCACAGTGGTTGCACCATTTTACATTCCCACCAGCAGTGTATGAGCGTTCCAATCTCACCATGCCCTTACCAGTATTTGTTGTCTGCTGTCCTGTTGAACTCTCCTATTGTTGTTGGGGTAAGCTGATAACCTCATTGTTATTTTAATTAGCATCTCTCTAATAGCTAGTGATCTTGAGCAGTGTATTTTTTTGGCCTTTGTTTGAATGTCTTTGATGAAAAGTTTCTTCATATCTTCTGCTCATTTATAAATTGGGTTGTCATTTTTTTGTTGAGATATTGGAGTTTTCTATAAATTTTAGATAAGAGCCCCTTATCAGACATGTCATTATCAATTATTTCCCCCCTCATGTGGAGGCTCTCATTTTACTCTTTTGGAGACATTATTTTTTATGCACATAAGGATTTATTTTTTATAAAGTCCCATTCCTATTTTATCTTCTGGTGCGCACTTTGTGTTATACTTGATAAGTCTATTTACACCATTGGTTGTTGCTGTCATGTGCCACTGAGTGGACTACAACTCTTAGCAACCCTATGAAAAGCTCAAGACCTTGCCGTATCCTGAGCCAACCTCACCATCCCGACACTCCTGACCCCATGGACACAGTCAGGACCAATCCATCTTGCCAAGAGTCTTCCTCTCTTGCACTGACCTTCTATCCTTCCAAGCATGATGTCCTCCTCCACCTCCAAGGACTGATCCCTACTGAAAACAGGCCCAAAATATGTAAGAGTTTACTATCCTTGCATCCAAGGACTACTCTGATTTCCCCTTCTCTAGGACAGACATGTTTGTTCTCTCGGCAGTCCATGGGGTGCTCAGTATTCTTCTCCAACACCAAAACTCAAAGGTATCAATTCTTCTGTCATCCTTAGTCATTGTCCAGCTTTCAGATGCACTGTGCAAATTAGTAGATCAGATGCACCTTAGTCTTTGACTAAGACTTTAAGTCTTTAGACTGATATTAATGCTTTTTAACACTCTGGAGAGAGAAGTCCTTGACAACAGATTTTTCCTGACTCCTGGTGCCAAAAGTGTTGATTGTGGACCCAAGTAAAATGAATTAATTAACAACTTTGATCCTTCCTTTCTTCATCTATCATGATGATGCCTATTTTCCCTAGTGAAGAGGATTTTTATGTTTTGGTGTTTTTTTAAA